ATGACTCCACTTACATGAGATATCTTATGTAGTCAAGTTCACAGAAACAAAATAATAAAATGAGGATTGACAGCAGGTGTGGTAAGGAAGATTTATGGAGTTTTTGTTCAATGTGTGTAGAGCTTCACTTTTGCAAGTTGAAAAAGTTCTGAAGATCTGTTTTATGACAATATGAATATTCTTAACACTATTGAACTGTACACTTAAAAATGGTTAAGATAGTAAATTTTATGTTATTAGTTTTTAATCACAATTTAAACATATATATATATTTTTTTTTAATGGAAGTTTTGTTCTTGTCAAGATAGAATAAATAGACTTCAACCTGTCTCTCAAAATGAATGCAACTAAAATTCCTGAAGAGAATATATCGGACAGCTGAGGACTAAAACATAAATGACAGCACCACTAAACAAGCAGTAAGTTAACATATTTTTTTCATCTTTTATTTCCTGGCCTGAATGCAAATATAGTCCAGAACCCAATGCTGTATACAAGGTACAGACAGAAAGGGTTTCAAAAGAAGCTCTCTATTTCTGTTATGAGGGACCTCTTTTTGTCGAAGACAAGAGGAACATTTCGTGTTTTTCTGTCTTTTTTATATCTCTTGTCTTACTACCCTATTCCATAGGAGATCACACAGTGGCAGTAGCAGAAACAGAAATGAGAACTTGAAAGATATTTACAACTTCATTAAAGAGAAAACCTCTCTGGTCAGAGGACCTGTAGTCACAAGAACATAGGAGAATCCACCTACTTTTCCTTTTTATCTCTCTCTCTTCTTTTACCATTTTGCCGTATAGGCACACAGGATAGTGAAAAGTACATGGCAGAGCCAGAGAAGCAAGAACATCAGCTTTTAGCCAGAGAACCAGGAGAAGAGGGCTTCTGGGAACTATAAGGCATTTCAGAGATATGGAAGGAACTTAAAAAAGCAACTCTATAAAGTTGTATATGAATGCCATGACCCACTCCTATTCTGCATGTGCATGAATATGACCCTGAAGACCACAGCAAAAACTTTGAGAACTTAACCATAGTCTTGACCACAACCTAGGTCAGAGACAGTCCACTAAGTGGTATGCATGTGGGAATACCACTGAAAAGTCTTTAAAAACTGAACTGACATTGAAATCACAGCATACAACAATAGATAGGGACCTGTCTGCACCTAACTGAATCAATTGCCTGCTAAAACAAACAATCGACTATCAACATTCTAGATAGGATTTAAACAAGACTAAGAGTTTCAAAATATGATACTTAAAGACACAGTATACAATTCAAAATCACTTGGATAGGAAGCACCAGAAACATTTCAACATCTCACAAGAAAAAAAATGACACAAGAGTAACTACATCAAGATGATACAGATATTGGAACTATCAAACACTTTAAAATAGTGAGTATAACCATGTTCTAGGAAGTAAGGCCAAACATCCTTGAAATTTATGGGAAAATAAGAAGTCTTAACAGGAAAATAGCCCATATAAATTAAGGTAAATTTTAGAAATGAAAATAAAAAATTTTCAAGTGAGGTCAATAGTATAATGGAAATAAAAGGGGAAAGATCAATGAATTGAAGATAGATTGATAGAAATTATCTCATGTGAATGACAAAGAGAAAAAGACTGAAAAAATAGAGACCTGGGGACCTGTAGCACAATAATAAATGGTCTAAACTTATTTGTATTTCCAGACATAGAGAAAAAAGAATGTATGCAGAACAAATTGTCTAAAAATGTAATGGCTGAAAGCATCCCAAATCTGGTGAAAAATGTAAACTTAGAATTTCAGAATGCTCAGCACACACAAAATTGATACAGCCAAAGAAATCTCTTCCAAAATATGTATTATAATCAAACTGCTGAAAACTAAGGACAAAGAAAGAATCTTGAAAGCAGCCATAGAAAAATGACACATTACTACTTTTAACTTTAGATTTCTCTTCATAATCCATGTAAGGCAGAAAGAAACAGCAACATTTTATAGAGCTGGAAAAAAAGGAACTATAAACCCGGAATTCTATATCCAATGAAAATATCGTTCAAGAATAATGGTGAAATAAAGACATTCTTGGATAAAGGAAAGCTAAGATAATTTGTTACAAACTGACATGATGAAAAAGAATGAACCGCCAAAGAAAGTGAAGCCGCCTCTGCAGAGTATGTCAGTGAGAAAAATCTAACATGGCCGACTCCATCTTGCTTCTAGCTTTATAGGCTGGTTGTCTTCGCTCATTCCTAGGCATAGGCCAAGCCAACAATGGGAGGATTTAGTTTATGTTTAACTTAGGAACAAGGACAATAATAGTCCTTCCCTAAAATTAAGCTCCTCTTTGCCTAGGGACCAAAAATGAGTGAAAAGCTATAAGATTAGAGTTCTAGAAGGGGCCTGGGTGAATTCTGCTGAAAGGTAGGCATAGTTTTTACAATGTCTAACTGCTCAGAAATCCTATGGCTCAAGTTCACAAGATTTGTTATTTCTCCAATTGCTCCTATACATAACATCACTATTATAGAACCTAAGATCTGTCTTTTGAGAAGTTTTTCCAATTTTTGCATTCTAGGAACTGACTGACCCCTCCAGGACCCATGGCTTATGACTCAACCTGCCCTGTGTCCCCCCCACCCAGAGTTGGATTCAGCACACAAGGACAATTTTCATGACTTCATCCCCAACCAATTAGCAGCATCCATTCCGTGCCTCCAACTCACAAAATTATCCATAAAAACCTAGCCTCTGAGTCCTCAGGGAGACAGATTTGAGTGATAGTGATACGGGAGGGGAGCAGGTAAGTGCTGGATAGAGAAGGGCGTGGTCCTTGGTGAGGGCTCCACCCCTGGGCTTGTACCCACGGACCTAGGTGAGGACAGGCACTTCTGTTTACCTGCCAAAAGAGGTAAATTTAAAGCAGAGGGAGACTTTTGGATGGCTGATGGAGGCCCTCGTTAGGTAGTACGAATGAGACTGGAAAGAAGAAATCAATGTAACTTGAAGATGAGAGTGAATAAGAGAGAACTAAAGAGTAAAATTAAAGTCACTGCTGGGGAAAAATGTAATAATCGATGTTATGCTTCTTTATTCAAAGTTTTCTAGTAGTTAACTGTAATTATTTCACCGAAGTTTGGAAATCTATTTTGGGTTTATATGTGAAAAAAGGGATTTTTCCCAAAAAGAGAGTTATGTTTTTCCTGGGAACTGAAAATTGGTAGGCTTTCATGAAGAGAAGGAAAGCAAACGAGGATAGTACAGTACTAATGGGAAGAGAAAATGTGTAGAAGGTAAAAGGAAGTGGGAACAAGTCTAAAATAATGTATGCCTGAGATGGAAAGCAAACTAAATACAAATTGACCTAAAAATGTTGTTAAGTATTCAGTAGGTACCAAGCTGGGGCAATGCAATTGACACGGGAAGTCCTAGTGCTATGTAACTGCACAAGTAACTGTAGGCATCACATTAAGCTGCTAGGTTTCCACATTTTGAAGGTGATCATATTTCATTCACTCAAGCACTTTACTAGTAGGAGTTAAAAAGGAATGTGCCAGAACAGCAGGACTGCCCACTGTGTCCCCACCCCCACCCGCTTCACTCTCCTTCCCTGTAGCAAGCATCCTGCAATGGGCAAGTATTGCCAGAATCACAGTGTTTTGGCACCGACTCTTTGCAGAAAGAAAGTATCATGGGGTATTGACAGTTACCAAAGAGGACTCCAAGTTTCCAGCTTTTTCTGTGCAAAACTGTTGTAACAGGAATTAGGCTATGAATGTCAACCTCTGAGTTTCTGGAATTATAAAAAAAAAAGGTTAGGTGAAAGAATCATGATAGGAAAGAAAGATAAGCTTGAGAAAGCCAAACGAAATTTGAAATATTTAACTTGAATAATCCACAGATATGAATTTATTTTCTTTCTCCAAAACTGAGAAAGTGGGGGAAGTCTTATTTATATATAGGACAAGTATATTCCAGTCATAATATAAATGAAACATATTATTTCTCCTTCATTAACATGAAACATGAGGTGGGCTAGAAATATGATATTATCAATAAACAGAAATGTGAAGTTTCTGTCTCGTGACTTCTCCAACCACCTAAACAGTCACTCAGTACTTTAATAGCTTGTTTTGTAAGGCAGGACCAATTTCTATGTTAAAAAAAAAAAAAAAAAAAAGAACTACCTGACTAAGGTCTGTCTGCTTAATAATTCCTTTTGAAATCTCTTTGCTTGCTGCATAGATAGGTCAGATACACAATTGAGATGATAACATAATCAATTAAAGGATATTTATCTTGTCACTTAAACAAATTAACATTTTAGGTGTACTGGGAGTTCTCATTTTCATTTATTTATAATTATTAGAAATGTTTTTTAGATCTGGCATTTTTCTTCAAATTATGGATCTAATCATCAAGTTCATTTCAAACCAGACCCAAAATAGATAACAGATATTATGAGCTTTTTAGCATTGCCAAGTTTAATAAGTATTCTTTGAAATAATTTTAGTAAATGTGTTTTTCTGACACAAACTAGAGTTCAATACTTGAAATGGGAAAAAAAAACACCTCAACTCTACTTTGATGATTTTGGTTCCAAATTGTGAAAAATAATCACTTCAATTTAAAAAGTAACTTTGTTTTCTATTACTATTTTAATGTAAAACCTTCAAAAAATATGTGGTTCATCTGCCTGAACAGGGCGCACAGGACCAATTTACAGGAGGAGCTATGTAGTGTTGATGAAAATCGGTACTTGCTCTTTCCACCGGGCATCACATTGCATCTGTTTTTGTGACAGCATTGGATTCAGAAATTAAGCACAGCAGGAAGGAAGATCTTGCATAGATTTAAAATATATTGCATGTCTTGACATTACAGCCTGCTGTAAGTGGGGAAAGACTGAAAAACCCCCAACTGTACTTAGAGGACATTAAACTGTGTTCGTGAGGTGGGGAGATAGGTATCTCCTTTTGCAGAACTTTCATCCCCAGAGTTTACCAACAGCTAATGCTAGTGTATCATTCTAATCGGAACACCTATGATAAGATGATTTCCAGCATTTCTAACAATCAAATTTCCCAATTTTAGAAAAAGTGATCTCTATTATTAAAGGCATTCTACAGTAATGTTATACATTTACAAAATATAGAAAACAAAAATGTACATCTCAGCCAATTACAATAATACAAAGCAAACATCCATGTTACCATTAACCAGGTCAAGAGCACTGCCAGCACCCCAGAAACATCCTCATGCCTCCTCTAAATCGTGCGTCTCTAAACATTGTACTTTAGTATTGCATATATATGGAACTTTTTACAGATAAAAATCTTAGAGTGTATGTTATTTTGTTTCTGGTTTCTTTTACCCACATTATGGTTGTGAGATTTATTCATGTGAGAAGACGCATATAATACCTTCATTCTTGTTGCTGTATAGTGGCCCATTGTGTGTATGCACAGAACTTATTCAGTCTGCTATTGATGGACATTTGGGTTGTTTCCAACTCTTGGGTGTTGTGAATAATGCTGCCATGAACAAAGATGTATAGCTGTTTTGGTGCGTTTTGTATGGCTAGAAACAAAATCGCTAGAATACAGAATAAATTCAACTTTAGAAGGTAAGTTTTAAAAATTGTCAAATGTGCTTAATGTAATAGGCACTCTGCCAGCAACACTACTGATGTAGCTCCACATGCTTACCAATATTTAGTCATGTCAGTAGTGTTCCTATTTGCCTGGCCACTTTGATGGATATGAAGTGTGTAACATTGCTGTCTTAATTTGTGTTTTTCTGATTATTAGTAATGCAAACATCTTTTCATGTGTTTATGGGTCACTTAGTTATTCTCTGCTTTGAAGTCTGTGCAAATGTTTTCTGTTTATCTATTAGATTATCTGTGTTTGTCATATTGACTTGAAAAAGTCTTTATAGGTTCAAGATACAAATCCTTTGACCATTATTTGAGGTGAGTGTATTCTCCTACACCAGGGCTTACATTTTTACTTTAAAAAAAGTATTTTTTAATATATGTCCTAAATTTTAATATAGTAAAAACTATCAGACATTTTTCTTTATGATTAGCACTTTTCAAGGTTCATTTAAAAAATCTGTGCCAAAAATTTTTTGCAATCTACCCACATCTGACAAAGGGCTAATATCCAGAATCTACAAAGAACTAAAACAGATTTACAAGAAAAAATAAATAAATAAACCCATTCAAAAGTGGGCAAAGGATATGAACAGACACTTTTCAAAAGAAGACATATATGAGAACAAAAAACATATTTTAAAAATGCTCATCATCACTGGTCATTAGAGAAATGCAAATCAAAATCACATTGAGATACCATCTCATGCCAGTTAGAATGGCGATCATTAAAAAATCTGAAGACAACAGATGCTGGAGAGGATGTGGAGAAATAGGAACATTTTTACACTGTTGGTGGGAGTGTAAATTAGTTCAACCATTATGGAAGACAGTGTGGCGATTCCTCAAGGACCTAGAAATCGAAATTCCATTTGACCCAGCAATCCCATTACTGGGTATATATCCAAAGGATTATAAATCATTATATTATAAGGACACATGCACACAAATGTTCACTGCAGCACTGTTTACAATAGCAAAGACCTGGAACCAACCCAAATTTCATCACGACAGACTGGACAGGGAAAATGTGGCAAATATACACCATGGAATACTATGCAGCTGTAAAAAAACAATGAGTTCATGTCCTTTGTAGGGACATGGATGAACCTGGATACCATCATTCTCAGCAAACTGACACAAGAACAGAAAATCAAACACCTTATGTTCTCACTCACAGGTGGGTGTTAAACATTGAGAACACATGGACACAGGAAGGGGAGCATTACACACTGGGGTCTGTTGCGGGGGCGACTAGAGGAGGAACAGGGGTCAGGGAGTTGGGGAGGAATAGCATGGGGAGAAATGCCAGATATAGGTGATGGGGATGCAGGCAGCAAACCACATTGCCATGTATATACCTATGCAAGAATCCTGCATGTTCTTCACATGTATCCCAGAACCTAAAGTGCAATAAAATATATATATTAAAAAAAAATCTGTCCCAATCCCAAGATCATGAAGATGCTCCTGTAGTTTTGTCGAGAAGCTTTATTATGTTTCCTTTCACATTTAGATCTATAACCATTCTGGAATTAAATTGTGTCTCTGGGATCAACTGAAGTCAATCCTTCCTTCCCTCCACATGGATTACAAATTACTCACATCATTTGTTAAAAAGACCACCTTTTACCTACTGCTCTGTAGTCACTTTTCAAAAATCATGTCACCAAATATCATGAGTCTGTTTCATAACTGTTGATTCTTTTTTATTGGTCTATTTGTATACTTTTTTCCCATAACACATGACATTAATTATTATAACTTTATAATCAGGATTTCATAAAAAGGCTTTATATGCAAAGCAATGGACAAACACAGAAAATGCCAGGAAACCTAAGAAGGAGGAAAACAAATCAAGCACGTGTCCTTATAGGGCAGTTTGACCAAGGAACATAACAGACAGAAGTATGGTCTTGAGTGGCCACAAGGCAAGTAGATCTCCATCCTATTGACCCCCAGAACCAGGGATTATATACCATAGGGAAAAGATTCACATGCTTAATTTAAGAGCATAAAAGTATAAGTTTATCAGAGTTGATTTAATCTAAGGGCAGGATTGCAGTAAGTATGTGCTTTACACAAGGAACGATAGAAAGAACTGGAAATCATAGAACCATTCCCAGAACTGGGATTAATCAAAAGTCATGGAAGATTAGCTTCCAAGAGTTAGTATTAGCCTCTGCGATAGGTATTTATATCTGCAGAGTTGGTCGTCAAATTTATTTTTTCTTCAGATTGTCTAAGATATTTCTGGACTTTATCATTACCACATATATCATAAAATAGCCTGTCAACTTCCACACTAAATCTCCTAGGATTTGTGTTGGGATTATACTGAACCTATAGTCAATCTGCAGAAAGTTGACATCTTTGCCATCTGAGTTTTCCATGAACAAATAATTTATTTATATAGGTCTTCTTAATTTTTCCCAAAAACATTTTATGGTTTTCACTAAGGAAGGCTTGCAAATTTTTATTTATTCCTAGGTAATTTTTTTGTTATTGTAAAGGGTATCACTTATTAGAATTTTATTTTTATTTATTGCTTATGTGAAAATAAAATTTAGTTTTGTATATTGATCTTGCATCTAGAAACCTTACTAAACTCATTAAAGTATAATAATTTATTTATACATTCTTTTGAATTTTTATTTACTCAACCATACTAATTTGTAAATTATGATGGCTTTACTTTTTCATTTCCAATTCATAGAATTTTTGTTTCTTTAGCCTTATTCTATTGGCTTAGACCTTTAACATGATGGTAAGGGGACATACTAATTAAAAACATACTTGTCTTTGTCACAGTTTCAGGTGAACAGCTTTCGCTGTATCTTGGTGTATATAAGTAAACAATATTTCTCAGTATATAAAGAACTTACAGCAAATACTTGGTGTTTAAGTTCTTCATAAGTAATCATTGTTTTATAGAAGTTCTCTTCCATTTCTAGCCTGTTTTGAGGGTTTATTTAATCATGAATGAATACAGAATTTTATTTTACCAAGTAAATTTCTGTATTTATTGAATTGACTATGTGATTTTTATCTTATTTTATATTAATTTGGCTGATTTCTGAAATTACATTTATTCCAGAATGTGAAAAATTGCATCCCAGAAATAAATCAATTTTTTTATGATTCATTATGCTTTTAAAATCATTGGATTCTATTTGCTAAATTGGGGGGTATTTTGCTTTTGGGTTTATGAAAGATTTATCTATAAAATGTCTTTTTTGTAACATTATTGTCTGCTTTTATAAAAAGACTTGAGAAGTGTTTTTTCTACATTATTACGCTTTATTCTATGTTGATAAGATTAGTGTTCTTTCTCTCTTAAATATTCTGAAGAATTTACAAGTAAAGCCATCTAGGCCTGAAATTTTTGTTATGAGAAGGTCTTAAATTACAGATCAATTTCTTTAATGTATATTGACCTATTCAAATTTATTATATTGATTTTCACCAGCAATAAATGACAGTTCCTGTTGTTCCAATTTCTTGCCAGCACTGGTGGTGGTGTTTTGGGTTTTAGTCATTCTAATAGTTATGTAACGGTATCTCATTATTGCTTCAATTTGCATTTCCCTAATGACGTATGTTGCAGAACATCTTCTTATATGACCATTTGCCATCTGTACATCGTTTTTGGTGAGGTGTCTGTTAAGGTCTTTGACTCATTTTTTAAAATCAGATTGTTCCTTTTCTTATGGTTGACTGTTTGTTTTTTGGGTATTTTTAGTAACAGTCTTTTATGTGATATGTCTTCTGTAAGTATTTTCTTCCACTCTATGGCTTGTCTTTTCATTCTCTTGACAGTGTCTTTCTCACAGCAGAAATTTTTACTTATAATGAAGTCTAGCTTATTAGTTCTTTCTTTCGTGAATCATACCTTTGGAGTTGAATCTAAAAAGTCATTGCCAAATCCAAGGTCATCTGGATTTTCTCTGTCTAGTAGTTCTACAGTTTCACATTTTACATTTAGGTCTGTGATTCTTTTTGATTTATTTTTTGTGAAGGGTGTATAGGGTCTGTGTTTAATTTTTTTTGCATGTATGCAAGATGTTTACTTATTCCAGCACTGTTTGTTGGAAAAAACATATTTTCTCCATTGCGGTGCATTTGTCCTTTTGTCAAAGATCAATTAATTATATTTATGTGGGCCTATTTCTGAACTTTCTATTTTGTTACATTGATCTGCATCTATTCTTTCACCAATACCACACTATCGTCTTCATTGTAACTTCATAGTAAGCCTTGAAGTCATATAGTGTCAGTCCTCCAAATTTTTTCTTCTCCTTCCATAGTATGTTGGCTATTCTGGGTCTTTTGCCTCTACATATAGTATATGAGGCAGAGCATCTTTTCATATGCCTAACTGCCATACACACACACTCACACACACACACACACACACACACGTATATATCTACATATCTTCGGCAAGGTTCTGTTAAGGTCTTTGGCCCATTTTTATCTTATTATATTTCTAAAGGTTGTGAGATCAGTAGTAATGCTCCCTTTTTATATTCCATTTTTCCCATATACCACTCCAAAGAATCTTCACCTCCACTGCTCTACCAAAGTCATCAATGATATTCCTATTGCTAAGTCTAATAATCAATTCCTAAGTCTTATTGTTCATTATCCAAGAGCACATGCCACACACCTTCTTTCTTTACATAGTCTGTTTACTTGACTTCCAGAATGTAACAGTCTTCTGATTTTTCTTCTACCTCCCTTGCTGTCTCTTCTCTGTAGCATTTGTTAATTTCTTCTTATCCCTCTAGCTCTTGACATTGGTGTGCTCCATGCAGTTCTTCCCTTTATCTCACTCGATGCCTTGGTGATCTCCTTCAGTTTTATGGCTTTCAGTGTTGTCTGTACAATGATGACTGCCAAATTTAATCTCCATTCATGGTCTCACCTCCTATCTTTATACTCATACCATCCAATGGCTCCCTTGATGT